CCATCTAAATGACGTCACACTCACTGATTAGTTAATCAAACATTGCGGATCTTGTGTTAAATAAATAATTATGAAACTCATACGAAAAGAAAGGAAAGCCTGTATACGTTGGAATGTTGATCTTCTTTATACTTCTGTGAAGGGAAATTTCTGCGCTTTTTGTCTATGATGTTAATGACGCGGCACTGCATTTCGATGCAGGTATGTGGCATGCAGATTGTGTGATCACCTGGTATTCACTTATCGTCTTCGGAAGAGAGAAAACCGAGTCACCCCTATCGGTATTTGAACATGGAAACACTCGATTCTGAGTACCCAAAGCCCTACCGACCGAGCAATTCCGGTCTGGAGTAACATATGATAAATTCTCTGCGCAAGGATATAAGTGAATGAAGCAATGGTTGCCCTTCACTGAAATCGAACTCGGCATCTCCGCAATTCGAAGCCGACCTCTTAGAAGTTGTACCACCGCGTCACAATCGTTACGGACGCCATCAGCAGTGAAATTGGACGTTTAAAGCAATAAAACATGGATTGTGACGCGGTCAAGTAATAAACATATTTACAAGCGCATAAACGACCAAGGGTATAACATTGTTATGTCTCAAATTTCTCACATCGGCTGAGCCAAGACGCACACTGATTCTGTCAATAGCAAAATGTACAGATTCAGTGACATGTAGTCTTTTTCTCTGTTGATACCGATTAATTATCTTCAGAAAATCATAGCCAAAAGCATGCATTTTCACTTAGGACGGAGGCGAGGTATAGTAGTTTTAAGTGGCTATCAAATTGCAGTACTTTATAGCTATTCAGAGCTTTCAGACGATTTTATGATCAACGGGTGTGATCAGACAGAGGACTAGAGTGAATGAGTCGTCGTCGAAGGCAGAAAGGATAAGTTACGGTGGGCCGCACACATTGCCAAGCTCACCACGGAAGATCATTGGCTGCGATAATCGACTGGTACCCTTGAGGGCGGACCAGGCCGCCTAATCGTCACCATTACTACAATTACGTCAGCAGCCGGAAAGGCTGCGCTTGGAGGAAAATAGATCGAAACTGCGAGGAATGACTGGTGTCTCGGGCTTGCGAGATTCGTCACCGATTACAGTCCGGTCCAAGTGATCCAAATGAAGCGATGAATCATTAAGCATGAACGGCAGTAAAATGGTCATTGGTGGAACGGCTTCGAATCTAGTTGGCGTTTTAAAATTATTTTTATGAGTGATAAATAAATCATATTTCTGAAGGTCTACCGAATACGTTTATATCACCAGTTTCTGACAGGAATTTGAATAATCATGGCATACGGGTCACCATGAGCTTCACAGGTTCAGCTTACCTCAGAAGCTTGCGTTGTTTGGTGTGGAAAAAGTGCTTGATCTTCTCTCACTCTGATCGTTAATTTTTTATTCTTCACGATTTATAACGACAAATGGAATTTAGGTTTTGCTTCAT